GAAAAGCAAACCCAGTGCCGACGAAATATATGGTCTGGCACAACAGTTCGGCCTCTTGTTCGCTGCCCACAAGCCCTCGGGCTGCATGGTTTCGGGCTTGAAGAAGTACCCACACCTCCCTACAGACCTGGACAAAGATTGGCTGTCCAGAGCCTATCCCAAAGACCCACCTTCGATGGTAGATCTCCCACAGCTTTTCGAGCTAGGAGCCCAGTGCCCGATGCGATCCACCAGCAAGCTCCTTTCCAGTTGCTCGAAAAAGAAGCTTCAACCCTTGGTGGACAAGGTTGAGGACCGACTCCTCGAGTTGTTCAAAAGCTTGTTGGGTGGCAACTGGCAGGCCGCCCTGCAGGGTGGCAAAGAAAGCTCGAGCAGTGGTGCCAAGATCACTTTCTTTGACCATGTGAAGGATGGCAACCATGGGCCAGGCGACAGCATGCAGGGCTTGTCTAAGGAGGATGTAAGCAAGCAGCTAGCTTTGCCACTAACGAACCAGCCGTCTGCAGCTGCAGAGCAGCAGCAGCAGCAGCAGCACCCGTCACCGGGAGTGCAGGACCCGCCTGCTTTGCAGCAGAAGGGGCATGCAGCGGGCTCGGGTAACTTGTCGTTGGAGGAGTACGAGAAGCAGGCAATGATCGAGGTTGAAGAGAAGACCAAAAATGGGAGGAATTCCAACAAGCAGGGCACCGGCCAAAAGGACAAGAATCCCATGAAGAAGCAGGGCACCGGCAAAAAGAACAAGAATCCCATGAAGAAGCAGGGCACCGGCAAAAAGAACAATCCCATGAAGAAGCAGACCACCGGCGACAAGGACAAGCATCAGACGAAGGCGAAGAAAGTGATGAAAAAGCCTGCTGCTAAGAAAGCTGCAGAGGGCTACGGTTGCAAGCGATGCCGAGGTAGCGGCTGTGATGTTTGCGAGAACCCGAACTTTGCGGGGATGAGGTTGGTTGGTAGAGAAGCTTGGAAGGCTTATATGCACCAGCAAAAGCGAAAGCTTTGCTAGATTGTTGTTTTAGCTTGCTTGCAGAAACTGCATGCAGCTTGGAGTGATCGTACAGTTGATCCACTCATGGGGCAAGGGTGTGCACATACATGCATGCTGCGAAGTCAGGAATGACATGATCGTGCCGGGGACTTTTGCAATGCGAGGCAAACATGAATGCTTGCAGCTTGTGTTGCCATGTCTGCATGTTGCCTTCAGATGCTACATGAGCATGTCCGTGCATGGCTATATCAGTTCAGGCCGTGCATGCATGTGCAATCGGGCACAAGGAAGACTATAAAGTCTATCTGTAAGGATTTTTTAGTATTACGGTTCAGTGTTTGCGGTTTATACAATGTTACGTAGGTTCTTTTCAGACTATGAGTGTTTGTAAGGTACATTTGCCCCGAAGTTTTTGTAAGAGTAACTTGCATGTGAAAGGTATGCAACCCTCTGTACTGCATATATGAAAGCGCTTTCGTGTGTTCGTGTATCTATATGCATATGTATATGCAAGCATACTTACCCATATAGGTATATACATACAGGTTCCTTCGTTGCAGCATATATACTTGAACATACATGCATACATGCATACATGCATGCACATACATACATCAGACATACATACATACAACCTGCAGGTCTATATACATATAGATACATTTATGTACATACATATCCATATATACTGCCATGCATGCATACATATATACATACACGTATATTTGTAAATGCATACACACACACAAGCTTACACATGCATGCACATATATAGAGACATATATTATACCTTCATCATAGACAGAACTGTATACACAAAGAGTGCATGAAGCATTCTTTGTGCATTGTTTCGAAGCAAGATGGAAGCTGCATCGACATCTTCGGCACCTAGAAAGAAGCAACAGCGGGGGCACGAAGCAGAAAGCTCTCGCTCGGCCAAACTACAGAGATTGGATGGGTTCAGAAGGCAGTTGCCTTTTGTTACTTGCTCAGCTTTGAGTTGCATCTTGAGTTTGGTCGAAAAGGAAGGAATTCCAGAAAAGCATTCGAGGCATGACATGAAGCAAGCAGTGAAACAGGCCATTGCAAGTTGCACTGCCTATGGGGCCCTTGTGCAACAACTTCCGGCGAAGTCACTGGCCGGTGCAGACCTTAACATACCATGCATCAACCTGGCGAGTCTTATTCAGGGCATGTATGCAGCAGGTGGTTATTTTTACCAAATGTTGAATCATGTGCACGAAGCATCACCATCCAGCATAGGATCCCCCTGGCGGGGGGTCCTTTATTCCGATGAAGTACACCCGGGCAATCAGTTGTCCTCCCAAGGGCGAAAAGTCTGGGCGGTGTATTTCTCGTTTCTGGAGCTGTCACCGAAGTTGCTTTCGAACGAGCATCATTGGTTTACACTGATGGTGGTCAGAACCGAACTGGTGCAGAAGGTGTCGGCTGGTATAGGCCAATGTTTGAGGTTGCTGCTTGAGTTCATGTTTGCCAACGAGTTCGGAAATCCAGAGCATGGCTTGGCATTGAAGGGGCCGAGCAAAAGCATCAGACTATTCTTTACACTTGCTATGACACTTCAGGACGGAAGTGCACAGAAACACACATACTCGAACCGGCAAGATGCCGGTTCGAGAGTTTGCATGCTTTGTAAGAACATCTTTTCCCTACGGTCAAAAAGCTCTGAGGATGATGTCAAGATATCGGCAAAACATTTGACATGGGATGCATGCCATCAAGCTACAGACGATGAGCTCTTGGAATCGTGGGAACGAATGGAATCAAGACACCGGACAGAGTCCAAAAGCAAGTTCCAACAGTGGCAACAGGCTTGTGGGTGGTCTTTCTCGCCGCATGCCCTGATGATGAGCACTGTTCTACGAAGTCTGAATGTATTGCGGCCGGCTTCGCAATATTGCTTTGATTGGATGCATTCTTTATGCAGCATGGGAGTCCTCAACTGCATAATCCTGTGGGTGCTGGAAGCCACTGGAAAAGCTGCTACCTTTCATGACTACTTGCAACTCTGGCAATGGCCGAAAGCCCAGAAAGCAGCGGCACTGCACAAGCTGTTCAGCCAGGAGAAGATGAAGGCACACAGGAAGGCAAATTACATCAAATGCTCAGCCTCTGAGGTTTTAGCAATTTCAAAGCCTTTAGAATATTTTTTGCATACCTGCTGCCCCAGCCCGGATGACACTCTTGCAAAGGAAGCTTGCTTGTCTTGGTTGGAAGTCTTGGCCATCTTGATAGCTTGTACACTACAACTGCCTCCAGCAGGCCTTTTGTTGCAGACTGTCGAGCGAGCATTGTCCCCCTCACCGTCGCCGCCGGGTGGGGAGACCAGATGGCTCCGAAGTTTCATTGGTGTTTACATTTTGAGGCATGTCTGTCACGATTTCGATGCATGCCAGCATGCTGGACACTGGAGCGAAAACACAAATCAGTGCGAAAATACGGCACAGCTACCAGCAACACCACCAACTTTGAACAAGGGTTATTGGAGGAGACAAATGCTGAACAGCTTGCCTTGCTTTCGAGCGACACTCCATTTCGAGCTGGCCCTCATCTCCTGCAGCCTCACCCCGTATCCGCCAAAGTAATGGCACAACTTCTGCAGAGCAACATCGTGTCTGAGAGTGATTCCTGCAACTGCAGCAAAGAGTGCCGGCTAGCTTCTGGTGCTGTCTTGCATACCGGTGATGTTGTTTTGCACCATGCAGCTGCCGACAATGAATCACCCATCCCCTTTTGCTGTGGCCGACTCCAATGGCTTATCGAAGTGGACGGCTATGTTGCAGGTGTTGTGTCCAGATGCGAGTATGTTTCCCATGATGCAGTGAAGCAAGTGGCCAAGTGGAGGATTGCAGGTGAAGCCCTATCCATCATGCAGGTTGATGCTTTCCTGTGCAGTGTAGTTTACAATAACAATGCAGGCATTCTCACCACCCTGCTACCCCGCCACCTGTGCAACAGCATGGCTTGAAGATGTTGCCGGCAAGAAAATCGCAGCAGCCATGCTTATATATGCATGCAACTGATGCTCCACGATCTGTGTTTATTCTTGCATGCATGCAGCATGATTGTAGTACGTATGCATTCATGTCCGATGTTGTGCATAGCATGCATGCACGACATGCATCATGCATGCCTTCATGCTTCGTACACATGGCATGCATGCAGCATGCAAGGCTCCATTGACAAGCATCATGCAAGCCTTCATGTTCCATGTGCAGCATGCAATGCTCCATGCATGCCATGCATGCTCCATGTCATGCATGCAGCATGCAGTGCATGCAGCATGCAGTGCTCCATGGACATGCATCATGCATGCGATCGTGCTCCATGATGCATGCCATGCATGCAGCAGGATTGTAGCAAGAATGCCTCCATGCTCGATTGTGCATGGCATGCATGCAGCATGCAATGCTTCATGGCAAGCCTCATGCAAGCCTTCGAGCAGGCTCCATGTGCATGGCATGCATGCAGCATGCAATGCTCCGTGACATGCTGCCATGCATGCATGCAACAAAACAATACTCCATGTCATGCATCTCGCAGACGACGAATGGGATTTGGACGGTACTTTTGCAGGCAGGCATGCTTTTGCTGGAGCCAGTTGAGCTGCATGCTTGTTTGCTTCTCGAACAGCTAGTTGGGTTGATTCTAATTTTCAACCTTCTGAGATCTGTATTCTCGCTTTGTTAATTCTTTGATTTTTGTGCTGTAGACTTTTGTTTTCTTTGCTTTTAACTCGCAAATTACCGAAAACAGTTTTGAGATTTCACTTCTCAAATCTTCATGTTCTGTTATTACATAACCATAAATTTCACCATTGATATACTTAGTTTCCAGGTTGCTAACCCCTTAGCCTAACTTCGCTAAACCCCCTTAATAAAGCCCCTAAGTTGCTTAGCTAACCCTCGCAATTGTACCAACCACTTATAACATGTTAGCAACACCCGAAACATTCAAGCAGCGCCCTCCGCGCTCTCCACGCCCTCCGCCCTCAGCGCGCTCGCTCCGCTCCCTCAGCGCCCTCAGCGCCCTCAGCGCTCCCCGCGCCCTCCGCGCCCTCAGCGCCCTCCTCGCCCTCAGCGCTCTCCGCGCCCTCAGCGCCCTCCGCGCCCTCCGCGCCCTCCGCGCCCTCAGCGAGCTCGCTCCGCGCCGCCCTCAGCGCGCTCGCTCCGCGCCCTCCGCGCCCTCAGCCACCTCCGCGCTCTCCGCGCCCTCCGCGCCTTCAGCGCCCTCATTGTGTGCTCCGCGCTCTCCGCGCCCTCCACGCCCTCAGCGCCAGCGCGCTCCGCGCCCTCAGCGCCCTCCGCGCGCTCTCCACGCCCTCCGACCTCAGCGCGCTCGCTCCGCGCAGCGCCCTCCGCGCCCTCAGTGCTCTCAGCGCAGTCAGCGCCCTCCGCGCCCTCAGTGCGCTCGCTCCGCGCCTCAGCAGCGCCCTCAGCGCCCTCAGCGCCAGCGCGCTCCGCGCCCTCCGCGCCCTCCGCGCCCTCCGCGCCCTCAGCGCCCTCAGCGCCCTCAGCGCGCTCCGCGTTCTCCGCGCCTCCGCGCCCTCCGCGCCCTCAGCGCCTCAGCCCTCCACGCCTCACAGCGCCCTCACCGCCCTCCCGCGCCCTCAGCGCGCTCGCTCGAGCGCGCCTCCGCGCCCTCCGCGCTCTCAGCGCCCTCAGCGCCCCCATGCCCTGTGCCGGGCAAGTTGCAACTTCGGCACAGCATGCGCTCGGCCGGCGCCTCAGCGCCCTCAGCGCCCTCCGCGCTCTCCACACCCTCAGCCCTCAGCGCGCTCGCCCTCCGCGCCCTCAGCGAGCTCGCTCCGCACCCTCCGCGCCCTCTGCAGGGCGCTCGCTCCACGCCTCAGCGCCCTCAGCGCCCTCCGCGCCCTCAGCTCCCTCATGCGCCCTCCGCGCCCTCCGCGGGGCCCTCAGCGCCCTCAGCGCGCTCTCCGCGCCCTCAGCGCCCTCCGCGCCCTCAGCGCAGTCAGCGCCCTCCGCGCCCTCAGCGAGCTCGCTCCGCGCCTCAGCGCCCTCAGCGCGCTCGCAGCGCCCTCCGCGCCCTCAGCGCCCTCAGCGCCCTCAGCCCCCTCCGCGCTCTCCGCGCCCTCCGCGCCTTCAGCGCCCTCAGTGTGTGCTCCGCGCTCTGCGCGCGCCCTCAGCGCGCTCGCTCCGCGCCCTCGCGCCCTCAGCGCCCTCCGCGCGCTCTCCACGCCCTCCGACCTCAGCGCGCTCGCTCCGCGCCTGCGCGCCCTCACAGCGCCCTCCGCGCCCTCAGTGCTCTCAGCGCAGTCAGCGCCCTCCGCACCCTCATGCGCTCGCTCCGCGCCTCAGCGCCCTCAGCGCCCTCCGCGCCCTCAGCGCCCTCAGCCCTCAGCGCCCTCAGCGCCCTCAGCGCGCTCCGCGCCCTCCGCGCCCTCCGCGCCCTCCGCACCCTCACAGCGCCCTCAGCGCCCTCAGCGCCCTCCGCGCTCTCCACGCCCTCCGCCCTCAGCGCGCTCGCTCCGCTCCTCGCCCTCAGCGCTCTCCGCGCCCTCCGCGCCCTCAGCGCCCTCCGCGCCCTCCGCGCCCTCCGCGCCCTCAGCGAGCTCGCTCCGCGCCTCACAGCGCCCTCAGCGCGCTCGCTCCGCGCCTCAGCGCCCTCCGCGCCCTCAGCGCCCTCAGCCCCCTCCGCGCGCTCTCCGCGCCCTCCGCGCCTTCAGCGCCCTCATTGTGTGCTCCGCGCTCTCCGCGCCCTCCACGCCCTCAGCGCGCTCGCTCCGCGCCCTCAGCGCCCTCAGCGCCCTCCGCGCGCTCTCCACGCCCTCCGACCGCTCCGCGCCTGCGCCCTCTCAGCGCCCTCCGCACCCTCATGTGCTCTCAGCGCAGTCAGCGCCCTCCGCGCCCTCAGTGCGCTCGCTCCGCGCCTCAGCGCCCTCAGCGCCCTCCGCGCCCTCAGCGCCCTCAGCGCCCTCAGCGCCCTCAGCGCCCTCAGCGCGCTCCGCGCCCTCCGCGCCCTCCGCGCCCTCCGCGCCCTCAGCGCCCTCAGCGCCCTCAGCGCCCTCCGCGCTCTCCACGCCCTCCGCCCTCAGCGCGCTCGCTCCGCTCCCTCAGCGCCCTCAGCGCTCCCCGCGCCCTCCGCGCCCTCAGCGCCCTCCGCGCCCTCAGCGCGCTCCGCGCTCTCCGCGCCCTCCGCGTCCTCCGCGCCCTCAGCGCCTCAGCCCTCCACGCCTCACAGCGCCCTCACCGCCCTCCCGCGCCCTCAGCGCGCTCGCTCGAGCGCGCCTCCGCGCCCTCCGCGCTCTCAGCGCCCTCAGCGCCCCCATGCCCTGTGCCGGGCAAGTTGCAACTTCGGCACAGCATGCGCTCGGCCGGCGAAAATTTCAGCGTCTATTTGACGTGTCTTTCGTGCAAATGTCTTACACTGTTGCAAGCAAGGGCATGTCAAATAGCCTGCAAGTGTCCATCCCACGGGGGGGGGGGGTGGTTTAGGGCTTAGGGTCGAGGGCTCAAGTTCGGGGTTTTAGTGTTTTTGGGGTAGTTCTAGGGTTTGGGGTTTAGGGTTAAGGTTTCCTGTTCGGTGTTCTCTCCGTTTCTTTGCTTGTCTGTTTCGCATTAGAAGCTGCCCCCACCCTGAAATAGTGGTATAATAGGAATATAGTAGGGCCCTAATATATCCTATATAATCCTTCTGGTCACTATTACAGGGTGGGGGCCCCTTCTAAGGTTCGCATGCTCTTTTTATTTTTATGCGTCGATTATAGCCTTTCTGGCTCGGAGTTCGGGGTTTTGCCTTTGGTAAGATGGACCTCCGGTTGGTAGGGTTTAGGGTTTAGGGTTAGGGTTTAGGATTTAGGATTTAGGGTTTAGGGTTTGGGATTTAGGGCTTTTTTTCTCACAAGGTGCTGATGTCAGGTAGTCATAGAGCCGTTTCGCGGTTGATTGAGTGTTGTCAGGTGTTGTCAGCAAACTGACGGTGTTGCTTATCTACGGTGTTCATGGGTAGTTGTAAGTTATAATGTTTTGATTTGGCTTATAGGGTTCGGGATCTGGATTTAGTACTTTGGGGTTCAGACTCAGGGAGCTGGGTGTTGGCATATTCAGGATATTCAGGGCACTTCGATTCCTTGGTTTAGGGCTTCGGGGGGCTTAGATGTAAGGATTCCAGTCCTTCAACACGCGGAGGCACCTACTGAGCCTAATTGATTTTAACTTCGACTGCTTAGGGTTTCAGGTTCAGGATAATTAAAGTCCACCGTTGACATGACCAAGAAGAGCCTGTAAAGAAAGGTGGCACCATCGGCAAGGTCCCTTGTTGTGGCGCCCTAAAGTAGCGAAAGATGTGAGTCAGGCAGTTTGCCGCTCCGTGGAAGCCTTTCCGCAGGGTGCGGGCCCAAGCAGCTCATGCTAAAGCCCCTGGACCCTACTTGGAGGGTCGGGGGACTTAGTAAGTAGGTTGTAAGTAGATTTATAAGTATCCTAAAAGGGACCCTAATTGGGGTTATGGTACTTATAAGTCCCAAAAAAACCAGTTACTAAGTCCCCCGACCCTCCAAGTATTGCTGTTCCCCCTCAGCCCCCCAAACTCCAAAATCTTTACCTTATCCAATGGAGCGTTGGAGATGTTGCACAGGGCTTGCAGGGCTTCTTTAGGATTTTCTGGCAAGCATCCGAAATGTTGCTGCAAGGTGGACTGCATTCAAGGTCTTGAGGCTTGTTGTACGGCTCTTGTTGACCCCCAAACCCCATATTTTCAAGTCAAGCAAATAAGGCTTCTAGGCTGTGCAACAACCCCCCCCCCCCAAGATCCCAAGCCCTAAATCCTAAACTTCAACTCCCTACCCGGACCGTGGTGTTTTGGATGTTTTTGAGCTCCGATCTGGGCTCTTGTCAAGGCACTTAATGAAGGCTTCATGGGGTTTTTCAGGACCCCAAACCCTAAACAGGGGTTATGTAGGATTTCTTGAAAGAGAGTCTGTAGAGTGTTGCAATTCCGGAACTTCATGCAAGCTACAACAGTCGTCACGCAGAGCAATACATGGGCCTTACTCAACATTAGAAAAAGTATTCTTTGAAGGTCCTTCATATGCTTCTGGTACAACATACCCCAGAACCCTATTTTGAATATTCAGGCCATTAGAGTAAACAGGATGCGTTCGTGCTCATTTGTGGTTACTTGCAATTGCTTTCACAAAGCCCAAACCCTAAACCCTAAACTTTAAAGCCTAAGCCCTACACCCGAAATGCAATCAGCCACCAACAGCAGTAAACCCGAAGACTCCAATGTCCCTTTAATTGAGAATATTCCCTAAATCATGTAAGGGATCCTACTATCCTTAATTAAGGAATATTCCTTAAATCATATGAGGGATCCGGCTGTATGTTTAAGGTATCTTCGTTAGTTAGGGGATGTTGGAGTCTCTGGAAACCTCCAAGCCTCAACTCGAAATCCTAAAGCCCACGCTCGAAACCCTACTTGGAGGGTCGGGGGACTTAGTAAGTAGGTAATATAATAAGTAGACCCTAAAAGGGATCCTAATTGGGCTTATGATACTTATATGTCTATAAAATGACTAACTTACTAACCTCCAAGTAAACTCTAAACCCGGAGCGGTTGAACTCGCACTACACTTCTTTGTCATAGTTGGATAACATTTTAGATTTTTATGGGTACTTAAACCCAATAAGAAAAAAGTACATTTTATCCCAGCAATGAACTAGACTTGCCCCAAACACCACAAAAAAGAACGGAAACCCATCTTCGCACTTCCAACACTATGAGTCTTATAAATCAACTGCATAGAAGTTCTAAGCGCCCTTAACCCTGAAACCCTCAGCCTGAAACCCTGAACCCTAAATCCCAAAACCTAAACCCTAAATCCTACATCCGAAGCCCTAAACCCAAATCCTAAACCCTGCCCTAAATTCTAAACCCCAAACCCTAAACCCTAAATCCTGAACCCCAAACCCCGAAATCCTACACCCCAAAGCCCCCATCCTTCGAAACTTCCCCACCGAGACTGGTCCGTTTTCTGCTCTGACGACGGCCCAGCAGTGGGATTGCCCAAGAAAATCTGGAGTACTACGGTTGATGATATAGCCCTGCATTACCTTCAAGACTATGGGAATCATGGTAGATTCCCTATTATGGGCAATGCAGGGTTTATATCATCAATAGTAGGGGTTTGGGGGGTTTATTTAGGGTTAAAGGAGCTTGCGGGTTTAGGGTTCAGGGAGTTTTCGGGTTTAGGGTTTGGTGAGGTTGGGCTATGTAAGTGTACACGGGCTTCAGCACGTTCAATACAGGTTCTGCAGGTTTTTGTATCCAAAGTTGTTGAACCCTAAACCCTAAACCCTAAATCCTAAACCCTAAACCCTAAACCCTAAACTCTAAACCCTAAACCTTAAACTCTAAACAGCAAGCCCTAAACCCTACATCCTAAACCCTAAACCTTGTGGGTTTTGGGACTTTCTGTCTGGGGCCTCTGAGGTTGCGATGGATTTGGGGTTCGGGCTTTTGGCTTTAGGGTCTAGGGGTTTAGGGGTTTAGGGGTTTAGGGGGTCCCAGAGACTCCAATATCCCTTAATTAAGGAATATACCTTAAATTATAGTAGGAGCCCTTATATGATTTAAGGAATATTCCTTTATTAAGGGGTATTTGAGTCTCCGAGGTTTAGTTCTTGGGGGAAGACCTTAAAACCACAACCCT